CCATTCGGCCTCTGCAATGCACCTGCAACATTTCAGAGATTGATGCAACAATGCTTAAGTGGTCAGATCGCTGAGTCTCTGCTTGTATACTTGGATGATATAATTGTATATTCACCTGATTTTGATACCCACCTACAGCACTTGGAAGAAGTCTTCATGTGTTTGTGGAAGCATGGCCTGAAGTTGAGACCTGACAAGTGTAACCTGCTTCAGAAAGAGGTGAGATTCCTGGGTCATGTGGTCAATCAGAGGGGAGTTATGCCTGATCCAGAGAAGGTGACTGCAGTTACAGAGTGGAATGCCCCAAAGACTGTTAAGGAAGTACGGGCGTTTTTGGGCCTGGCAGGCTACTATAGACGTTTCATCCAGGGGTTCTCTAAGATCGCATACCCACTTAATTCTCTGTTAACAGGCATCCCTACTGACAAGAAGCATGGTGCAAAATTAATTGATTGGACATTAGAATGTCAAATTGCATTTGACAAACTGAAGGAGGCGTTAACTCAAGCACCAATATTGGCCTATGCAGACTACACCCAGCCCTTTAGGTTGTACACTGATGCCAGCAATTATGGATTGGGTGCAGTACTGGCACAAAATCAAGAAGGAGAAGAGCGAGTAATCGCTTATGCTAGTCGTAGTTTACACCCTACCGAGAGAAATGATGCAAACTATAGCTCATTTAAATTGGAGCTTTTGGCACTGAAATGGGCAATTACTGAAAAATTTAAGGACTATTTGACTGGTGCCAAGTTCACAGTATTTACGGACAATAACCCAGTTGCCCACCTTCAAACTGCCAAACTAGGGGCAGTGGAACAAAGATGGGTTGCTCAGCTGGCCTCATTTGATTTTGAGGTAAAGTACCGAGCGGGAAAAGAGAATGTTAACGCAGATGCATTGTCTAGATTCCCCAAAACTTCCATCAACAGTGGCTGTGCTGTGGCGACTTTAACAGAGGCGGATACAGAAGACGTGGCTTTACTGGAGTGGGGTGAAGATTGGCAGGCTCTACAGTCGGCAGACCCAGACATACATCAGGTACGAGTGTATGTGGAAGAAGGGAGAACCCCAAATACGACTGAGCAGGCAACTCTAAGTGAACCAGCAAAAAAGTTGTTAAAACACTGGAAAAGACTCTGTATACACAAAAGGATTCTCTGTAGACGTGTGTTTGACTCATATGTATGTGAGCCCCGTTTTCAGATTGTGTGCCCAGATCTTAAGCGTCAGGAGGTCTGGGAGAAATGTCATGAAGCTACAGCCCACGCAGGAGTGGAGAAGACCCTCGCTCACCTAAGGCGCCATTTCTTTTGGCCAAGCATGGAAAAGGGGGTACAGTGTTTCCAGAATGGGTGTGTGTCTGTAGTTTACAAAAAGACCGTGTAGAACCTCGAGCACCTCTTAAGCCCATAGAAGTGTCCTACCCGTTAGAGGTAGTAGCTCTTGATTTCCTTTCCTTGCGTCGGCCGAGCGACACTTATCAAAGTATTCTAGTAATGACTGATATGTTCACTCGTTATTCATGGGCTGTTCCTACACGGGATCAAACTGCGCAAACTACTGTTCGTGCAATTTGGTCTCATGTTATCCAACAATTTGGTTGCCCAGTGCGTTTCCATTCGGATCAGGGACCAAATTTTGAATCGGAACTTATGAAAGAGCTATGCAGTTTGTATGGCATTTCTAAAAGTCGCACTACCCCCTATCATCCAGCAGGTAATGGGAGAGTAGAAAGGATGAACCAGACGTTATTAAATATGCTTCGCACACTTGAGGTTGAAAAACAGAGTAGGTGGCCAGAGCATTTGCCAGAGTTATTACATGCTTATAACAATGTTATCCATAGCGCTACAGGGTTTACGCCATCTTACCTTATGTTTGGGCGTCATCTGAGGCTCCTGGTCGACTTGAGTTTGGGGGTGTTAGACACACAACCCCGTAGAGATTTGCAAGGATGGGTCTTAGAACACCACCAGAAGTTATCTTATGCTTATGAGGTAGCTTGGAATAGGATGAGTAGTGCTGCAAATAACGAAAAACGGCGTTATGACAAAAAAGCCAAGGCCAGTGCGCTTCTCCCGGGGGAACGCGTGTGGGTCCGTGATAGGAACCGACAAGGACAAGGGAAACTACATAGTTGGTGGGATCCAGAGCCATATGTGGTTGTGGGGGTTGTTGGAGATACAGGGCTGGTTTATCGGGTTAGGCCAGAGAAAGGTGGGAAGGAGCGAACTTTGCATAGAAATGCTTTGAAGATTTGTATTGCTCCTTCCATTGATGTGTTGAGAGAACAACCTTCTGTTGAGACACCTGAACTGCCGTTAATGCTCTATTACCCTGTGGTTAATGAAGAACCGGAACAAGGATTGCCGTTCAACACGCGCTACGAGAGGACAATGTCCTTCTCGTTATAGAGACTAAACATCGGCCGGGACGGGCCTCATTAAAGTGTGGGGGGGTGTGGCAAGGTGACCTTGTTTTTCCTTTTGAGTTAGATTTTGATATTGTTTTGGATTGTATATTTTGAAGTTATTTTCTTAGTTTATTTTGGATTAAATGTTTTGTTTTTGCATGTTTTGATTGGTTGTTGGTCACGTGCCGCATGCGCCCCACGGCAGCAACACAGCTGATCCGCATCTTCATCAAGTTGTTTACAGATCAGGAGGAGTAAAAAGGCCATTGGGACTGTGACGGCGTGAAGGAGCGGCAGACGGCTCGGACTGGCTTCAGGCGTTGGCTACAGGAGGGACCGGCCCTGAGGACTGCTAATCTGGTCGCGGCAGAGGAGCGGGCGGCCGGCTAAGGAAGTGGAACTGCTGGGCTGAGAACCGGAGATCAAGCTGGACGTACAGAAGCAGTAAGGACCGTGTTCCCCTGAACGGAGCCGTTGGCTAGCGCTCACTGAGGTCCGTGTGGACTGGAGGATTGTTTGGACCCGGCTGGACGTGTGAGCAGCAGCGGACCGCGCCCCTTCCTCTTCCCCCTGTTGTGGGCCAGTTAAGACTTTTTTTTAATGGACTTGTATAATGATCCTTCTTCAGCAAATGTTTCCTTTTTAACTAGTTGTTTTTAAAATAAATTATTGTATCCCTTTTATCAGTTTGTTGCGCCTCTGTCCACAATCCTGCAGGTTATTTTGTATACAGAAAAATTGAGCCTCTCGGCCTTCACATGAGGCCCACTGATGAAGATGATGCTACAGCAACGTACAAAAACATTGGAGAGCTTTTTATTTGTGCCATAATTCTGTGTCGTAACCTTCAACATCTTTTCAGCACTGAAATTAGTTTTTGAAAGTTCTGTTTCCAAAACAAAACATGAGTCTTCTACATTAAAAAGATACCACCTACTGTGCAGTGAGACAAGTTGGACTCATATAGTTTTTGTTAACTCTATGCTTTATCTTTAATAAATGCTTCTTTTATGCATCTTGCATCATTGTATCCAGTTTGTGTTGTGGGCCTGAGCCGGTCATAAAAATTGGGGGCTTGTCCGGGATTTGAATCCGGGACCATCAAGTTGAATAAGCAAATTTAACATGGTTAAAGTTTAATCAACATGAGCCATATGAACCCAAAGAAGAGACCAGAAAGAAGGACGAGTATGAAAAGAGACGATGACTGAAAGGGAAACTTGGTCGTCAATCAGGATGAAAATCAGGGGAAAAGGATTGTTAATCGGAACGAGTGAGAAAAAAAGAAAGAAGGCCTGAACACTGGAGTAAAAACCTTTAATCTTGCAAAGAGTAAATGTTAACAATGAAGAGGGATGGGCAAGATGAGGACTACAAAAAAGTGTTGCAAAAGTCAATGAGTTGCATCAAAATTGGACTTTTAAAGACAGATAAAGACACAAATAGAAGCTGTAAAGGGCAATGAGAAGGGTGTTGTGTCCCAGACTGAGAATGTTATCTATTATTGTTGTTTTTTCTCATTATGAAACTGTTTTTAACCTCAAGTTAGTCATTGAGACTAAATATAAAAAATGAGACTGATATGCTATGGCATCTAAATAAACCAGGTTTGCAATAATCTTCTTCTACAGAATCCTTTTAAGGTCATATTTAATTGTTCTCAGAAATGTACATGTTTGGACAATAAGACGTCTCACAGTCCAGCCAACTCTGATTAGTCAACTGGTGCATCAAGCAACGAAACACTTTAAACCTGTGGGATGGTTGTTGAAAGATGTGATATGAAAACATAGACGTCATTATGCCGGTAGTGACAGCATGTTAGGTGAGATCTATAAATATTTATAGACTCAGTCCACATCCTTTTTTACTTTGTATGGAGAGATCATATGTACTTAGAAAGAAACCATTCTGTGGTTTCAGGTGCAAAATTTGGTTGTAGCTAACAGAACAAACTTTTGGTTCACATTGTTAAATATAAAACCTCCACAAAAAGTCCCTTTGTGGAGGTTTAAAAAAACCTCCGCAAACAGATGCATGTTTTTTTAAAAACATGCATCTGTTTGATGGAGGGATTGTGAGGATGTTGAGCTTTTATCTGATCACTTTGCTTCCAAGAAGTCTGTCTCAGTTTGAGAATCAAATTACCTTTGATCCAAAACCTGAAGATATCAAAATATGTGAAAAACAAAGTTTTAATTGTTAAAATGAACTATAACTGTGAGTTGATGAGGGGAAGGATGGTGTTTGTAGTTACTGTGAGGAAGTGAAACCTCTGACACCCACACGGCCTGCTTAATGGTTTCATGTTAGAATTGGAACCATTTTACAGAGAAAGACGGAAATATCATCTTTTATTCAGATGTAATATTGTACTGGCGTATGAATTGTTGTTATTTTATCTTGAGCTTAATCTCACTCTGTCTGTGAGTTGCTTGTCCCACAGTAGATTTTTACACTTTTTTTGCACTTGCTGCTGCAGTAGTTGTGCACCAAGTAGTTTTTTTTTTAAACTACTTCCTGATGAGAAAGTCACACCTCGAAACCCACTCAGACTAGACAATGTTTCCTGCCTCAGAAGAGGTTGCTTTACGGACTGAGTCAGTTGTGCGTGTGTAAAGAGTCAGAAGCACGATGTTTTCCTTCCAACGGATTTTAATGTCTTTATTTCTGACACTTCAGATCACAGGTAAGGAACTATCTAATATCTAATTGTTGAAGGTCCATCTCTTGAGATGTGAGATGAGTTTTTTGCGACATTGTTTCCCATTTTTGCTGCAGCAACAGCTGGACAGCAGCGAGCTTTCTTCACTGTTAAAACTGGTGATGGAGTCACTTTACCCTGTGGAAATGTGGGACAGGAGAAACACAACTGTGACAGAATCACATGGACGCTCAGTCGGCCAGGAAACAGAAACGTATCATTGTTTGAACGAAGCCGTTTCACAGAAGAGGCTAACGCTAAGTCAGGCAGACTGAGTGTCGCAGCAGACTGTTCTCTGGTCATCAAGAGCGTCACAGTGGAGGATTCTGGTCAATACAGATGCAGACAAAATAACTTCATCATGGTGGATCTGTCTGTTGTTACCAGTGAGTATTTATATCACATTTGTATTTAGCCATTTTGTCTTAGTGACCCTAACCCTAATGAAGCTGAATTTACTGATGTTGTCTTTTCCAAATATCTCCATCTTCCCCAGTGACTGAACAAAGAAACAATGGAAAAGTCGCCTTCACCTGCTCTGTGTCTCAACTCACATACTGCAGACACTCAGTGATGTTGCTGTATGAGGGCAAAGAGGAAATATCACCAGATATGAATGTATCATCCTGCTCTGCTGCTGTCACAATCCCAGCATCTCATCTGCATCACAACTCAAAGTTTTACGAGTTATTAAAGTGTAAAGTACAGGATGGATATGATGCCAAAAAAGAGCTGCTGTTCACCTTCAGCCATCAGTCATCAGGTGAGAACAAATTTCAAACCATTTGCATCTTAAGGATTTGAAATTGTAATATCACACCTGCTATTCTTAATGTAGCTTTTGGTAATGTAGCTCAGTTTTTTTTTTGGGTAAAATATTTGATGTAATTCTTTAAATTTATTTGAAAGGAGAAACTCCAAAGTCATCAGTAATAACAACTCGACATATATCCACAACAAGAAACAGGGACACAACACAAGGTATTAAATTTTCTTCATCTTTAAAGTATAAATGTCTGAATATGAGAGTGGCCACTAGTGGTGACATCCTGTAATTATGTCTTTGTTTCTTCTATTTGATTAACTTTTTAGGGTACAAAGCAACAACAATGAATAATCCAACAGACCAACATGGCAATAGATATTTTTCTTTCTAAATCTAATATTTGAATATCTGAATATTAATATTACAGGTGGCTGTCTTCAGGTTCTCCCACATTAAGTCTAATTAAAGTCTTTTTTTCATCACTTCCAGGTGATTTGTCCTTCTTTAGATGCATCATTGTGTCTGTGGGTGTTACCATACTCTTAATGTGTGTAGTCATAGTTACCATATGGGAGAAAATTCAATGTAAGAAAGCCCCTAAAAGTAATTATTTACCTAAATTTTAACTACTGAAGCTGAAATCAAGCTGAGGTCGTCTGGTTCTCTTTTCAGATAACAAAGCAGCAGCGAAAAGAGACACAGTAAGTTTATATTGAACATACAAATGATGCATTGGAAAATATATCATGTGCTGCCCGTTATATAAGGAAAATAAATGCTGCTCTGTTTTGTCCTGCAGGGAAACCGTGATCAGCATGGAGATGCTGTGGTTTATGAAAACATCCCAGAGTCCTCTGCTTCCATCTGATTCCACAGATCAATATTCTGGAGACCCAATATAAAGCAATCAGTTCATTGGCAAATATGAAATATGACTTTATGCGTCACAAACTGTTTTAGTTTGAAACACGAGGAAGCTGTAAAGCACTTATATGTTTCAAACAAAAAGAAATTGTTTTCTTTAGAACGATGTACAAATTTATAAGTTGTTCATATTCTTTTAGATAAAAGCGTTTTAAAAACCCACAAATATTAAATGCTATTATAAGTCAAGTGCATTGAAAATCAGTCACCTTTGAGAGAAAATATTGTTTTCAAATTTTTAATAAAGATGCTTGTTTTCTAGATTCTTAAATGTGTAAGTTTTCAGTTTTTATATTTTTACATATTGATCAAAATGAATGATCAATTATTGAAAATTATAGATTTTAAACTCATTTCTTTCTTCACATATCACATCGTTCAGTATTTGCTTTCTTCCCAGTAATGATATCTATTTAGCTCTGGCTAACTAAACTCAAACTGGACTCAACCAGTTACTGGTCTGTGACTGGGAGCATTTCAACCATCAGCAAAAACATTCTAACATGAATCATAAGGACGAGAGCCTGACCTGACATTTATTCACAGATATCAGGTGTTGTCATGTCTGATTCATAAAGTTGTTTATGCTCTTATTCATGTGTCTGGCAGACACTTTTGTCCAGAGCAACGTAAAAATCAGGTTGATGCTGCAATAATGCAACATCAGGATCAAACCTAACAATAACTAACAATAAGTCAGATTCATCAGAGGTGTTGAGGATTTCATTTTACTTTGCAGTTCAGTTAAATGTCACTGGCCCAGTTTATTTATTAGCATGCATTAGAGAATTGTGAAAACAAGTTTCTATTTCTATATTTGTAATGATTGTTCATCCGCCCCTGCCACTTGCTGCCCTGTGTGTAATGGAGATAAATACTCTGCTGATGAGGAAGTTACACCTCCGCACACACGCAACGTTTTCATGCTTAAAAGGAAGCTGCTTCACAGACGCAGTCAGTCGTGGATGTGGAGAAACAGAAGCATGATGCTTTCCTTTAAGTGGATCTCTAAGACTTTATTTACAATTCTGATGCTTCAGCTCACAGGTAGGAAAAGATCTAACAAATATCCATTTATTAATACTCACATGTGGAGGAAAATATCTTACTAAAGGTTTTATTTATGACCATTAAGATTATATTGTTTCTACAGCTCGATATACATGTCAGCAGTTATTTGTTCCATGTTTTTGCTGCAGCAACAGCTGGACAGCAGCGAGCTTTCTTCACTGTTAAAACTGGTGATGGAGTCACTTTACCCTGTGGAAATGTGGGACAGGAGAAACACAACTGTGACAGAATCACATGGACGTTCAGTCGGCCAGGAAACAGAAACGTATCATTGTTTGAACGAAGCCGTTTCACAGAAGAGGCTAACGCTAAGTCAGGCAGACTGAGTGTCGCAGCAGACTGTTCTCTGGTCATCAAGAGTGTCACAGTGGAGGATTCTGGTCAATACGGATGCAGACAAAATAACCTCATCATGGTGGATCTGTCTGTTGTTACCAGTGAGTATTTATATCACATTTGTATTTAGCCACTTTGTCTTAGTGACCCTAACCCTAATGAAGCTGAATTTACTGATGTTGTCTTTTCCAAATATCTCCATCTTCCCCAGTGACTGAACAAAGAAACAATGGAAAAGTCACCTTCACCTGCTCTGTGTCTCAACTCACATACTGCAGACACTCAGTGATGTGGCTGTATGAGGGCAAAGAGGAAATATCACCAGATATGAATGTATCATCCTGCTCTGCTGCTGTCACAATCCCAGCATCTCATCTGCATCACAACTCAAAGTTTTACCAGTTATTAAAGTGTAAAGTACAGGATGGATATAATGCCAAAAAAGAGCTGCTGTTCACCTTCAGCCGTCAGTCATCAGGTGACAAAACAGGTGGGAACATAAAACATTATTCATAATTTTCTCAAACTTGAAATATTTCAGCTGTTTATGCACATCTAATCCAACCAGCTGATTGTTTTCATATTATGATACATCTTAAGCTTAATTAACAACCTAATCCTAATTTACAGAACAATCAACAACAACTCCAGCAACTACATCAGCAACAACTAAATCAATATTAACCCAATCAGAAAGAACTGAATCAGCATTGTCAACCAGCAGCAGGTGGCTAACATCAGAAACCCCAACAGCAGCTCTATTTACCAAAAATAACCAAACAAAATCACAAGGTAGAGACGCATTTTATCATGTTTAAATACCTACAGGTATGGTCTGGGCTCTTCCTTGTTAAATGAAATTCAGTGAAGATGTTAACAGTAATGATTCCATTAGAAAGTAGTGAGTTTGTAAAAAAGTAAAAATATCTTCAGCAAAAGACACTTTCTGAAGTTTCTTTATTGTTTTCTTGGACTAAATATATTTGTGTTAAAGTTGTTAAGCTCCTATAATGATTTAGGTCCATCTGACCTTCTGTTGTTTTCAGAGAAAGGTTAACAAAGCTCATTCCTTTCATTTCAAACAGATGCTATGGTTTGATGTTTGTCTTATATTTTATATAACGTGTCGTTTTTCCACCAGGTTGGATTTGGTGGGCTGTCATGGTGTCCATGTTGTTAGCAGGACTCTTAATAACTGTGATTGTAATAATTGGATGGATAAAAACTAAAGGTGAGAACAATCACTGATTTATTAAAAAACAACATCCATGTAGTTCTGCAAACCACTGCTTAATATCTAACTGTTGTTTATCTGATGTGCATAAAATAACATAGTAACAGTAGATAGTAAACTATGACTTATGATTGGCTTGAAGCTGAATCAAACTCTTTTCTCTTTTAGGAAATAAAAAGCAGAAGGAAGACCAACCTGTGAGTTTCACCACAGAAACATGACGTATTTAGACATTTTGAAACCTCATTCAGCCACTGCTGGGTTCTGGACATGTTTGGACTTGTGCCACCCAGATATGAAACTCAGATGAGGAAGTGAGCTCACACTCTATTATGATGACTCACTTTAATCAAAAACCCACACAGGGCAGAATGACACCAGAAGGGTTTGTGGGTTAGGTTTGTTCCATGCAGACGTGTCAGAGACAAACTGAATAATAACTCTTTATAACAAATAAAATTCATTTTACATGCAGTTTGCAGAAATCACTGTTTCTCTTTGCTTTGTTTTCCTTCAGCAGGTTGATTTTTATGCTTCTTATGCATCCATAAACCACGGCAATGAAACCAGGACAAACAGAAACGTGAGTGAACATAAATTTATTCATTTTTAAAACGCTGTAATGTAATGTAGAAATATCATGGTCTTCCTGGTTGAAACATTTTCTGCAACTAGATTTTAAGTTTTAAGTTTTAATATTGCAAGAGATTAATGGCTTCATGTGCAATTTTTATAATAAATCTGATATTCATCATCCATGAGCTGATAACTTGGATTTACCGTCTGCTTCCTCTATGCTCAGAAATATGGTTAATGTGTTAGAGTAATATTTTTTAATGTTTTTGTTAATATTGTGTAATTCCAGGTCCCTGACACTGTGATCTACAGCACTCTGCAGGCTCCTTCTGCTGTGATCTGATTGGCTGCAGAAGAAAAAGCAACATTTTCCTTTAATTTTAATGTTTTCTTCTGGATCATTTCTGCTTGTTTGATGCAATCTGCTGTCATCCTGCCTCTCTGCAGAGCTTGAGTCACAATCCTTCAAAGATTTAATACATTTAGAAACTTTATTGTAATATATGTATTTTTGTTATGCTCGCAAATTATGCATTCAGTAGAATTACAGTGTTTTTCATTCCATTGTTTTAATTGTAATAAAGTTTCCTTCTCTCTGATAAACTGGTGGAAGGTTGCCGTCTTTCTTGAAGCTGAGTCAATGAAAACCAACCAGGTGGGAGAAGTTGCAGCTGAAGTGCAGCAGAAGCCTGTCAAAGGGTCAGTGTGATGTAAAAACGGCTTTTTGAGTTTTACTTCATTTTAAAACTCCTCCTTAGAACAGCAACATCAAAGCTTCTGAGCCCTCCTCTGTGACTTTTCTACTCTGCTCCTTCAGACTAGCAGCAGCAGCAGTTAGCAAACACTTGGTGGAACTGTGCATCTGATGAGCTTATTATATAAGTTACATCTCGGTGCAGGAATGTAAAAAATGTTGTGAAAGGGTCAATAGAGGAGCCATTTTGCGATGACTTCCTGAAGGTGGAGTTTCAGAAAGACCAGGAGTTTTTAAAGAGACAGAGGCCCAATTTCAGGGCATTAAATTACAAAGTCACATTTCTTTTCAGTCATATTTGAAATATATAGCATGTTTATAATGACTGAAGAGAACATAGTTACTTTATTGTGCTTTAAAATGATCCTCTGTGACTGGAAAACATTATTCTTCCCCTTTGACCTCTTCCTCATTTTTGTAAGTGCGGTGAACTGCAGCAAGGACCATGTAGGTCAGCAGGCGCTGAGCATCCGGCTTGAGAAGCATCACTCTAGCTGCTGTTTCTTCACTGTTTACTTTCAGAAGTTTAAATAGATCATGATTTTCTGCTCTTGCTGTGACCACATTGTGTGGTCTAAACTTTAAAAAGGAAAACAGTGAGACTTTTCATGCTGCTAGTGTATTTATGTGCAACAGCCTGTAGCAGAAACTAACACATTTCAACAGAAATAGTTCCGTCGTGTTTCCAAAAGCATCATTTCTTAAAGCAATTGTTTTATTCCTGGAAGTTTAAAAAAATGCTTTTAAAATACACAAGTGTTTGACAGTCATTTTGACAGGTTTCTAAAAACATCCAGAGACGAAAACAACAGACTTCATAGGGTGAAGACGTTGTGAGGACGTCCCCCCTCTGAAGCTCTTGGGTATTTGTTTTCAATAAGAAGCCATTTTAAACTCAAGTCGTTTGCGAACATGAGCAGACCAGACACAGATGAGCAAAATGGCTGAAAGAGGATGGATATGGTTGTTTTTCATTCTGATGCTTCAGTTTGCAGGTAAGATTAAATTTAATAAACGTTAAATAAAGTTTAATGATGCTGCTTTCAGTATTTGTGTCCAACTGAAGACTTGTCCAGTCCGTAGCTTCCTGACTGCAGTGACTCTCGCCAAAGACGTGATGCGCTTTTTTATGTTTCTCTGACACGTTTCTCATGTGCATTTTATTTATACACATTTCATTTTAAGAGATCTTAAAATCAGTCTTTTTCTCACAAACAGACTTGGTGTGAGAAAACATTTGATTTGACAAAGTGTGATAGATTTCATTTGCAACAAACTGTAACAAGGAACTAAAGATTAATGAGGAAGTAAATTAAGCAGATTCAGTGTTTCAGTTTATTTTTAGATGCGAAGAAACCTGATTAAAGAGCATGTCAGCTTTAAATCTGCAGATAAATTATGCAAAAAAATGAGTCACATACATAAATTTAACCCCCAATGACCTTTACAGACAAATACATAAAAACTTACTGACGTACTGGATGAGGAGATTAGCGAATGATCTTCGACCAGAGCTGTATTTGTGTGTTTTGTGGGTTTTTCTTCGTGATAAACAAACAACCAAAGCAGCAAAGAAGCAGCACATTCATATCAGTGATGAGGGAGATAACATGGAGACTCTCCTCACAGTTTGTTGTTTGTTTTCTGTCAGATTCTCATTCAACAGCTTCCACAACAACAAAGCACAAATCCTCTGAATCAACCAAGATATCTCCAACCGGCAGTTCATCGACTACAACTGCTTCACAACTTTGGAGCATGAAAGGTGGTCATGGATTTTAGCCAGAGTGTCCACTCCTGTTTTTATAAACCATCTCGGTTAATCATCAGTTTTGATCCTCCACAGGTCGATTATTATGTTCCATCATCATTTCATTTGCTGCGGCAGGTGTCATCATAACTGCTGTGGGGATCATCAACTTGAAGAAAAGAAGAGGTGAGAGAAATCAAACCAGAAACTTTGATTTATTTTAAATTTATTTAACGTCAATGAATCTGGAGTGAACAAATGTAGATTTCAACATTTAAATTCTTAGTTTATTCAGTTTCCTGATTTCTTGTAAATATATTTTAATGAGTGGCAGCTGTAAATTATTGGGTGACAATACAGTTGCGACTTCTTAGAAGTGATCTCAGCTCAACAATATGAAGAGCTTGTAACACAGACAGTCACAGTGAACAGATCAAAATGGCCGCCTTGAGCTGCTACAGTTCTGCTTTTTGGTTCACACCAAAAGAGGAACAGTGAGAAACGTCTCAGTGAATAACTGGAACTATTTTCAACCTTTCAAAGTGAGACTTGAGATCCATTCACCTTTGTTTCACATTTTCAGAAACAAAGCAAAGGAAGAAAAGCAAAACTGTAAGTATAAAGAATCGTTTACTTTGATACACATCTGTAATTGTGACAATTCAAGATTTAGTTTCTTTTCCTAAAAAAGGCTCAGGGGAGAGCAGAAAGAAAGGTCGTAGAAAGAGGGTGAAAGGATTTACTGTCACTGCAATAGAGGCAAGCTAATGTAGATGTTAACTTCATCAAGCAGCCTTATAAAATTAAATGCTAATTAATAATAAGTATGCTGTCATAGTATTTTGATCTGATCAAACTAAACGAGGAATATTTGTGTCCAAATGATCAAAATATGAATCCAGCGGATGGAGACAAAACGTGAAAGAATTGAGTCTGTCTCAAAACGGGTTCAGATTTCTTGTTTTGATGAAGACAATGAAATATGTTCAGCATCATGTTGTTGTGCATGCAGAATGATCCTGAGGAAACTGTCTGCTACGCCTCAATCAGCCACTCCAACAAGACCCAAACCGAAGCACAGGTCAGTGGTTTCACCTGCCAGGCTGGTTCAGGTGGCAGCAGAATCATAAAAACATAAATGTTTTCTGCTTCTTTTAGGCTGATGGTGATGATGATGAAAATGTTCCTGTGATCTACAGCACAGTTACACACGACCCTTCTTCCTCTATAATATGCACTGATCCAAACTGCCTCTATGCCACAGTTAACTAACAATTAAAATAAAAATGATTAAAGATCATGTATTGTTTTTAATTCATGCTCTTCTGGTCTCTGTACATATCAAGTTTATAATTCTACATGTGGATCGCTCACATTGCAACCTGTGTTTCAAGTTTACTGCAACTTCTTGATCTGGCAGGCATGACATTTATTTTTTTGTCCAATAAAGATTCACATATCAGAAATAACTCTGGCTGTTTCTGCCGAGGCTTGAACTGAAGTAACTCCATGGTTGACGTGATTTTAATTGAGTTTCTTATTTAATGGGAACATTACAATTACCAAATTGTGTTTTTTCAACATAAGCAGAATATTGACAGTTTTACTACATTTGTAATGTTTGCAAATGAAACTCAGAAACAGGAGCAACAGAGTGGCACACCAAGGTAAATATCCTACATAACACTCTATATCAAGTCAGAGAACTCCAAAGCCTTTTACCATACATTCAGTCATTCACCCATTCATATTTTGCATGATAAATTTATGTTACCTCCTGCCAAAGAGAGAGAATAAGACTTTAAATTGGACCTTAACCAAAACTTAAAATTCAAAGTTCAGGGACAGATGAACAAAAAACAAAAACAATTCAACGTCCTTCACTCTGCCTCAGTTTGAACATTAAAATTTTTGACCCACTAAACGTCTGCATCACTCATTCACTCCCATTTTAATCTAATAACAGAAACTAAGATCTTGTTGCATGAAGACATGAACAAGACTGGCTGGAAGAATTTAATTTAACCCTTTAGAGCAAAAACTGTATGCTAGGTCTTCTCATCCAACATCAGTGTCTGACCTCACAAATCTGGAAATAAAACTTTGAAAAATATATATATATATATAAGGCATCAGTATATCACCCGAGAGGTCCGCAAATGGCAACTGCTATCACAACTTGAGATTGACGAAATACAACACAAATGCTACGGCAAAAGGGAGGAACCCGGATGTCAGGACTGTGGGGACTTAACTACAAGTCCCCACCCAGTGAGGGGATACACGGCCCCAATGAGCGAAACAGAGCTGAGCGAGACAGCTGCTGACCTGAGAGAGAGAATCATGACCCGAATGACAACAAGACCTCCTCGGCGCCAATATGGACTGGAATCCCCGAGATCAAAGTGGGAAACACCCCCAAAGGTGGTGCAGAACGCCAGAGCTAAGATCCTGTGGGACTTCCAGATCCAGACAGACAGAATGGTAATGGCGAACCAACCAGACATTGTCGTAGTGGATAAACATCAGAGGAAAGCCGTTGTGGTAGATGTAGCAATACCAAGTGATTGCAACATCAGGAAAAAGGAGCACGAGAAACTGGAGAAATACCAGGGCCTCAGGAGGACTGGAGAGGGCCTGGAAGGTGAAGACCACAGTGGTGCCTGTGGTCGGGGCCCTCGGGGCAGTAACCCCCAAACTGGAGCAGTGGCTACAACAGATCCAGGAACAACATCAGACATCTCAGTCCAGAAATGTGCAGTCCTTGGCACAGCCAAGATACTGCGCAGAACCCTCAAGCTCCCAGGCCTCTGGTAGAGGACCCGAGCTCAGAGGATAAGAACCACCCGCGGTGGGTGAGAAGGGAATTTTTATTTTTATATTTTTTTTTTTAGAAAGAAAATTTATCGAAAATCTTTTTGATTCTTGTATGTTTGAAAGCAGAAGAGTGAATAACATTTGAAAGATTGTGTAGGAAGTAAAAATGTATCAATGTAAGCTGTTTAATTGGAAAGTTAAAGATACACAGACGTGTTTTTGACATGAGACGTCATAAGCAAATCACAGCTTTTCCCCTGACGTCTTCTTCTTCTAAAATATCTCCTTCTGCAGGTCTGGGGGAAATGAGGAACTAACATGCCTCACAACAGTAAAAAATCAGATTTGTGCTTTTTTACAAGCAGTTTATCAGATTATAAAAATCACTTATTTTCAAGTTGACACTTTTTTCTGCTGTTCTGCGAATCATGCATGTTTTACCCTGTTGCCACCAACAAAGCAGCCTAAGACTTTCCAAGGGGAAAAACAGAGTGAAGTCAATGAGGAAGTGATACTAGACTTAAGCTATTTCCACATTAATGCAATATTTTGAAAGCATTGTGAACTGAATCATTTGCAGATGTGACCATGAGAAGAGCAGAGAAGCAGAATGGCTGCAGTTAGATGGACACAAGTGTCTTTATTCCTGATGCTGGTGCTTCAGTTTACAGGTAAAGATCATAGTATTATGAGGAGTCTTACTTTAACTGAATGCACTTTTATTTCACGCATTATTTGTCGTGTCTTCACAGCAGCGACTAGGACAGAGCCGTCCTTCTTCACGGTCAATGCTGGAGATGAAATAACTTTGCGCTGTGGGAACATATCCGATCCTCTGCGTGACGCTGAATCCACTGAGTGGCTCTTCAGTGGCTTCAGGTCACCTGACACTGAGATCCTGGTGAAGGAGCTGAGCAGAAAAGTGACCAGAAGATCTGACAGACTGAGTGTTTCAGCAGACCGTTCTCTGGTCATAAAGACAGTCACAGTGGACGACGTCGGCTTTTACACCTGCAGGAAGAACGTTTCAGGACAAGAAGATGATGCAGACATTTTTCTGTCTATCATTGACAGTAGGTGTTAAAATTTACCTCATTCAGTTTAAAATAACCAATTAGAACAGCATTAGATCCTAATGTCTCAATTTATTTCCTCACATTTCAACCTTTGCCAGTGGTGGAGCTGAAGGTCGATGACAAGGTCGTCTTGAATTGTTCTGTGCTGCAGTATGAAGACTGCCGATATGTGGTGGAGTGGTTGTATGTCGGTCCAAAGGAAATACTTTCAGGCATTGAAATTTCACCACCTTCCTGCTCAGCCACCATGACGCTTTCAACATCGGGTCATCAGCAGAAGCCATACGAGTCTCTGACCTGTAAAGTCACCAACACTTACACCAAAAAAGTGGAACATTTCCGCTTCAAACCTGGTCGTCCTGTTCAGAAAACAGGTAAGATTGTTGCCTTTCTTCTCCTCTCTGTTATTCTGAACTGGTGGTGCAAAGCTGCAGCTTTCTTTAAAAAAAACAAATCCACTGGAACGTTTTCTAATTCCAGCATTTTTTTTATTACTGCAGATGCAATTACGAAAAATCAACTAGAACAACAAGGTAGATAGAAACATCTTTGCCCGACTCATTCATGAATATTCGCCTCTGCTGTGACTCTAATGATAACTTTATGCTTAGACTTTCCATACTTGCTGAGAGGAATCGTTGTGTCTGTGGGTTTGGCAGTTCTCATAATATCTGTTGTTACAGTTAACATATTGACGAAAACTAAAGGTGAGAACAATCACAGTGAAACAATATCAATGTTTTTTATGCTTTAAACTAAAGTTCTGTCTGCTCTTTGCATGTTTTTCATTCTTTCAGCAAACAAATCAGAGGTGAATGAAGACACTGTAAGTTTAAATACTGGACAGTGAAATGATGGATGCATCAAAATAATTTATTGTATTTTGATTTTTTTATATGTTTCATTGTATCATGATTTAAAAACAGAATAACCAGAAGTTAACCATAATATTATGACCACTCACAAGCTATATTAAAAATCATTAGATATGGTTACAGTTATACATGAAAGTTGGTTGCTGGAATAAAAGACTATAAAATAAAAAACTTAGAAACAGAAAATTTCAGCGACTTGGTGACAGATTCAAACCAATGTGACCCATTTATACTAGAGTTCACTGAGGGATGATCTGTTTTAATATTCTTTGTTCTTTGTTTTCCACAGACACTTGACAACGAAGAAGATGAACGTATAGAAATGTACGAAAATATTATAGTGCTTTCTGCATCAGACAGACTCCACTAACCAGAAATCTCAAACTCAGGTTTGCATGTTTTACACGTGGTGAGGAAACGGTGCTGGAACCAGAACGTTTGGACTCAGTGTTTATGGAAAAGAGTTCCAGAAAGCAGCAGAAACAGAAGAAAAATGTGACCACAAGAGTGACACATCATTGTTATAATTTCTTTGTGAATTGTTAGGGTTAGGGTTATGGGGAGGGTTAGGATTTTTGTTTTGTTCTGTACAACTTTTGTGTTTATTAAAGCCTTACAAAGAGAAGTTGACATCTTTCTTTCACATGTCCTGTGAACTTGGTGAAGAGCTCAACAGGAGCATAAAACACAACACTAACAGAGCATACTTAAACCGCAGTATTACGTATTTTCTAGGAAGAAAGGGTCTTTTTTTACGAGAATCAAATAACTAAATTAAGAAAATGCTGTATGTGTCAAAAATAAATAAACGAATGAACTTGTTTCTTGAAATTGGTTTGCAATCAACAGCAACATTATTAGCAACAAATCACAAGCAATTTAATGTGTTTAAGGATCAGCAAAGTTAACATGATGAAGTTAAAAATGCTCATTAGAAAGAGGAACCAAGAGAACTGAAGTGAGATTTTCCACAGCATGGCTGCAGGGGTCACATGATCTGGTCTGAGTATTTCACAAACCGATGACATAATCTGGATTTTCATCTACAGCCATCTCTCGGTTTTAGTTCCATTTGAAGAAGATCAAATGTCCAGTGAGCAGCAGTTGCATGGATGAAAATGCAAGAGAGAAATAGCCTGACTAATTTAATATTTAATATCTAATGTTCTTTTCTTCCTATGCATATTTTGAATTCTTCCTCTAACTAAAACAACCATGCTTTATTTAGCTATATACATTTAAATAAGTCATTACATGTTACTTTTTGAACGTTTAATTTTGCATTTTAGCAGGACAATCTGAGCCCCAGGCAGCCAACCATCCTGTCAGAGAGGAAAACCACAATACAGACACTGAAGACAAATCTAATTAAACTCTCTGCATCTCCAATAATCTGAGGGACAGCAAAGCAACAAAACTGGTTAAACTGTCAAATTCTCACAGAGAAATAAAAAGTGTACCAGACAGACTGAGTGTTACAGAAAACGGTTCCCTGCATCCCATAACGTCACAGAGGATGATGGCGGTCAGTGTGACTGTCAATAGACAACAAGACAACGGCAACACTGTAGAATATCTGTCTATAGTTTTACACCAAGCAAATTAAAAACTGAAATTGAAATATTACAGAAGTGATTATGTAGTGATTTATTTGTATGTGCCACTACAACAAAACTTTAGCACCTTCATTGTTTATGTTAATCCATTGTCGTTACACCAAAGCGCCACTAGAGGGAAGCACATTTAATTTCGGACGACATACTATAGTATGTCGTCCGAAAAATTGAAAAAAACGACATACTATAGTATGTCGTCGAAAAATTGAAAAAAACGACATACTATATACTATGTCGTACGAAAAATTTAAAAAAACGACATACTATATAATATGTGGTCAAAAAATAGAAAAAAACGACATGTCGTCCGAAAAAAATTTTTTCAATTTTTCGAACGACATATTATATAGTATGTCGTTTTTTTCAATTTTTCGAACGACATAGTATAGTATGTCGTTTTTTTCAATTTTTGGGACGACATACTATAGTATGTCGTTTTTTCTCAATATTTCGACGACATACTTAGTATGTCGTTTTTTTCAATTTTCGTACGACATAGTATATAGTATGTCGTTTTTTTCAATTTTTCGAACGACATAGTATAGTATGTCGTTTTTTTCAATTTTTCGGACGACATAGTATAGTATGTCGTTTTTTCTCAATATTTCGACGACATACAATAGTATGTCGTTTTTTTAAATTTTTCGGACGACATACTATAGTATGTCATTTTTTTCAATTTTTCAACCACATACTTAGTATGTCGTTTTTTTCAATTTTTCGGACGACTTACTATAGTATGTCGTTTTTTTCAATTTTCGACGACAAACTATAGTATGTCGTTTTTTTCAATTTTTCGACGACAAACAATAGTGTCATTTTTTTCAATTTTTCGACCACAGACTATAGTATGTCGTTTTTCTCAATATTTTGCACGACATAGTCATCCGAAATACATAGTATAGTATGTCGTTTTTTCTCAATATTTCGACGACATACTATAGTATGTTGTTTTTTTCAATATTTCGGACATAGTATACTATATACGACATAGTATATAGTATGTCGTTTTTTTCAATTTTTCGGACGACATGTTTTTTCTCAAAATTTGGGACGACATACTATGGTATGTCGTTTTTTTCAATTTTTCGTACGACATAGTATGTTGTATGTCGTTTTTTCAATTTTTCGAACGACATATTATATAGTATGTCGTTTTTTCAATTTTTCGAACGACATAGTATAGTATGTCGTTTTTTTCAATTTTTCGACGACATAGTATAACATGTCGTTTTTTTTCCATTTTTCGAACGACATAGTATAGTATGTCATTTTTTTCAATATTTCGGACGACATACTATAGTATGTCGTTTTTTTAAATTTTTCGAACGACATAGTATAGTATGTCATTTTTTTCAATATTTCGGACGACATACTATAGTATGTCGTTTTTTCTCAATATTTCGGACGACATACTATAGTATGTCGTTTTTTTCAATTTTTCGACGACAAACTATAGTATGTCGTTTTTTTCAATTTTTCGACGACAAACTATAGTATGTCATTTTTTTCAATTTTTCGACCACAGACTATAGTATGTCGTTTTTTCTCAATATTTTGCACGACATAGTCGTCCGAAATACATACTATGGTATGTTGTTTTTTTCAATTTTTCGGACATGTCGTTTTTTCTCAATATTTCGGACGACATAGTATAGTATGTCGTTTTTTTCAATTTTTCGACGACATAGTATAATATGTCGTTTTTTTCCATTTTTCGAACGACATAGTATAGTATGTCATTTTTTTTCAATATTTCGGACGACATACTATAGTATGTCGTTTTTTTTTAAATTTTTCGGACGACATGTCGTTTTTTTCTATTTTTTGACCACATATTATATAGTATGTCGTTTTTTTAAATTTTTCGTACGACATAGTTTATAGTATGTCGTTTTTTTCAATTTTTCGACGACATAGTATAGTATGTCGTTTTTTTCAATATTTCGGACGACATACTATAGTATGTCGTTTTTTTAAATTTTTCGGACGACATGTCTTTTTTTTCTTTTTTTTGACCACATACTATATATAGTATGTCGTTTTTTTAAATTTTTCGTACGACATAGTATATAGTATGTAGTTTTTTTCAATTTTTCGACGACATAGTATAATATGTCGTTTTTTTCCATTTTTGAACGACATAATATAGTATGTCATTTTTTCAATTTTTCGGACGACATCGTTTTTTTCTATTTTTTGACCACACTATATATAGTATGTCGTTTTTTTCAATTTTTCGTACGACATAGTATAGTATGTCATTTTTTTCAACTTTTCGACCACATACTTAGTATGTCGTTTTTTTCAATATTTCGGACGACATAGTAAGTATGTCGTTTTTTTCAATTTTTGGACGACATGTCGTTTTTTTCAATATTTCGGACGACATAGTATAGTATGTCGTTTTTTTTCAATTTTTCGACGACATAGTATAATATGTCGTTTTTTCCATTTTTTGAACGACATAATATAGTATGTCATTTTTTTCAATTTTTCGGACGACATCGTTTTTTTCTATTTTTTGACCACATACTATATATAGTATGTCGTTTTTTTCAATTTTTCGACGACATACTATAGTATGTCATTTTTTTCAATTTTTCGACCACATACTTAGTATGTCATTTTTTTCAATTTTTCGGACGACTTACTATAGTATGTCGTTTTTTTCTCAATATTTCGGAGACATACTATATAGTATGTCGTTTTTTCAATTTTCGACGACAAAACTATAGTGTCATTTTTTTCAATTTTTTCGAACGACATTTGTCGTGCAAAATATTTTTCTCAATATTTTGCACGACATAGTCGTCCGAAATACATACTATAGTATGTCGTTTTTCTCAATATTTCGACGACATACTATAGTATGTTTTTTTCAATATTTCGGACATAGTATACTATATACGACATAGTATATAGTATGTCGTTTTTTTCAATTTTTCGGACGACGTCGTTTTTTCTCAAAATTTCGGACGACATAGTATAGTATGTCGTTTTTTTCCATTTTTCGAACGACATAGTATAGTATGTCATTTTTTCAATTTTTCGGACGACTTCGTCGTTTTTTCTCAACATTTCGGACAACATACTATAGTATGTCGTTTTTTCAATTTTTTGACGACAAACTATAGTATGTCATTTTTTTCAATTTTCGACCACAGACTATAGTATGTCGTTTTTTTTTCTCAATATTTAGCACGACATAGTCGTCCGAAATACATACTATATGTCGTTTTTTTCAATATTTCGGACGACATACTATAGTATGTCGTTTTTTTCAATTTTTCGACGACATAGTATGTTGTATGTCGTTTTTTTTCAATTTTTCGAACAACAGTATAGTATGTCATTTTTTTCAATTTTTCGACCACATACATATGTCGTTTTTTTTCAATTTTTCGTACGACATAGTATATAGTATGTCGTTTTTTTCAATTTTCGAACGACATAGTATAGTATGTCGTTTTTTCTCAATATTTCAACGACATACTTAGTATGTCGTTTTTTTCAATTTTCGAACGACATAGTATAGTATGTCTTTATTTTCAATTTTTCGGACATCATACTATATAGTATGTCATTTTTTTCAATTTTTCGACCACATACTTAGTATGTCGTTTGTTTCAATATTTCGGGACGACTTACTATAGTATGTCGTTTTTTCTCAATATTTCGGACGACATACTATAGTATGTTGTTTTTTTTCAATTTTTCGGACGACAAACTATAGTGTCATTTTTTTCAACTTTTCGACCACATACTATAGTATGTCGTTTTTTTCAATTTTTCGGACGACATACTATGGTATGTCGTTTTTTTCAATTTTTCGTACGACATAGTATGTTGTATGTCGTTTTTTTCAATTTTTCGACCACATACTATAGTATGTCGTTTTTTTCAATTTTTCGGACGACAGTATAGTATGTCATTTTTTTCAATTTTTCGACCACATACTATAGTATGTCGTTTTTTTTCAATTTTTCGGACGACATACTATAGTATGTCGTTTTTTTTCAATATTT